TCAGTATATATAGTTAGTCAGGGTGAGAATCTTTCCAATTAACTGCTAGATTCAGAAATCTTCTGGAGATTGTCAGGATCATTGCCTTACCCATGTTCTACATATAACTATATGACTTGTCACTGTCATGTTTCCTAGCTCTTCTCCTTTCCCTCTCTTAATTAGTCCTCAAGATCCTGCTTTCCTTTTACTTGTATTATACCTTTCTATTTGTATTTCTTCTTTTGAGTTCTTACACTAGCGAAACTATATGATATTTGCACATGTGTGTCTGGTTTGTTTCACTTATGAGTATATCTTCAAGTGGCATCCACTTCAATATAAAGAAGAAAGAGAGTTTGACTTACATTTTTGGAAGTTCCAACTCCATAATTAGTTGACCTCATTGCTTAGGGTTGTGGTGAGGCAGTACTTCATGACAGAGGTGCACAGTGGAATAAAACATCTCACACCCTGGTCAGAAAACAAAACAGGAAGGGATCAGGATCCCACAGTTTCCCTTGAAACCAACCCCTCGTGATGTAAGGACCTCTTACAAGACCCAGTTCTTAAAGGCGCTACCTCTCCCAGTAGCACTGCCCTATGGACAAAATCTTTAAAAGTGCATGAATCTTCTGGGAGATTCAGCATACAAAATAAAGTAAATTCCTAAGAAGAAGCACTTACATTGTGAAAGTTCCTTTGTGAGAATGGTAACTTTAGATAAATTGAAATTATTCAGTCCTTCAAAACGAGAATGTTCATTCATTCATTCATTCATTCATTCATTGAATGACCTTTTATTAAACTTTTATGAAGCAGAAATCTAAAAAAAAAACTTACTAAATATAAAAATTAAATTTGTTGTTTCCAAAAATTAAAATCAAATGAAAACAAGTTCTTTGTTTGCAGAAATGAGTTGTAATAATAGTTGCCATATTTTTGTCAGTAGAATGTCAACTGAAGCAGAAGACCCAAAAGTAAAAGAATTCAGTGAAGAGGCTACTTTTATTACTCATAATACCAAAAAAGAATTTATAGATACCAATGAGAATATTTTACAAGCAGAAACATTTCCACGGGATGGAATGGATATGCACCTATCAGACTGTGAAGGTCAGTTGATTTAGATTATCTTTTTATCTGGCTTTTTTGAAACTGGTGACTAATACTGTCTGAAAAAGCTTATTTAGCCTTCTGATGTCTAAGTTATTATGTCTATAACAGCCTAAAACTAAGTATTGGAAGAAAGTGTTATATCTGTGAATGAGTTAGTATATTAACTCATAATTTGGTTTTTAATAAAACCAAGAAGTCGGGCGTTTTTATGTTCATAGTTCTTTTACAGATTTTGGGTCTCTTGCCCTGCCTGTGGAATAATTTTGGCTTCTTAATACAAGTGAACTGAATTATGAATTCAGTTCTATGAATCTCCCTGGCAGCCATCCTTAAAGCAGAAAGTCTCAGAGCTCTACATGAAATTACATAGAATGAAACGAAGACTGTCAAGGCTCATGTGGAATTTACTTGATGGAGAGATCTCTAGGTGTTTCTAAATATTTTTGTGAGAGAGATAGAAATATTTCTGTCATTATATTCATTTCCTATAATATTCCTGAAACATTTAAAAAATTCCAAATAGTATGTTTCAAATCATCAGTTTTCTCTTCCTCTTTTATTTTCCTCCAGAAGAACCTGTTGTAAGGCCCACGATTGCCATTTGCACGCAGACTATACCACAGCAATTAGAAAAAGTAAGTTGTTAATAGTAGATAAAACTATTCAACTTCTGGCTGCGGGTGGTGGTATATGCCTGTAATCTCAGTGCTCAAAGTTGATGAGGCAGGACCATCTCTGAAAGGGAGATTTAGCAATATAGCAAGATCTCTCAAAATAAAAAATAGAAAATGATCTAAGAATGTAGCTCAGTGAAAAGGTCTAGAGTTCAGTCCCCATAGCAAAAAAAAAAAAGAAAGAAATGTTCAGGGTATAAGGGAGAATTTCTGCCCTTCCCCCCACCCTTACATTTTAATATAATTCCAACACTCTGGAGGCTAAGGTAGGAGGATCACCAAAAGTTCAAGGTCAGTTTGGGCTCTGTAGTTCAAGGCCAGCCTGAGCTACATAGGGAGACCTTACCTCCAAAAAATTTAGTTTTTGTTGCATATCACTGTTATGCATCAAAATAAAATAATTATGTGGCTCATAGAATATAGGCAAGCCATGTGGCATTTTTCTTTCTTTAAAATTCTGTTACGTGCCCAATAATTTTTTTTTTTTCCTAATTCAGGCTGCTCTAAGGTCGGGAGGTCGGGTCTGGTGCAGCTTCCAGAGCTGGGAATCTAAACCACGGTCTTATGCGCCGGACTGCATTTGCCTAAGTGGCACTTTAAACAATTGAACTATCCGGCAAAACCCCCATGTCCAATAACTTTTACAAGTGCATTTTTTTATTTCCTAAAATGCTTTAAGCAAGTAAATTTAATTAAAAGTGGTAAAAAAATATCCTTTATTTAATTCAGTGTGGTTGCAAGTTTTGTTTTTTTTGTTTTTTTTTTTTTTTTTGTAGTGGGGATTACAGGCAGGGTTTCTCACTGAGCTATATCCCAGCCTTCTCTTCTCATTTTGATTCTGTTTTTTTTTCTTTGTCTTGACCTTTTTTGACAGAATCTTGCTGAGTTGCTTAAATGGAACTGAAATTTGTAATCCCCTTCCTCTGCCTCTCAAATGCTGAGATTACAGGTGTGCCCCATCATGCCTGAGTATTTTTGTACCTGTTTACACGTTTTTGTATTGTTTTCCCAAAGTTCTGTACACTGAAATTCCATGCAGAGCATAGGCATTTCCAGTGATGGTAGCAGTACTTTTAAAAAGAATTAGGTTTTCTGGGTTTTGTAGTTGTTTTCACGGGTTAAGTAATACTCATGTCACTGTATATATACATAATGTGTTAGTCTACTGTCATCATCTTGTCTTTGTGCCTTAGAGGAATGGGCCAGAAGCAGTCCACACAGTATAAATGACTCCACATTTTAGTGCTTGATTTTTCCCTTGCTTTTAGATTGTTGTTACTCTAGGTGAGTGGCTAATCTAAAACTCAAAATGTACCCATTATAGTAATATCTGTTTGCTTCTCCTCTTTTCATTTTGGGTACTATTAATTTTAACAGCAATCCACAGAAGAGGTTTGGTGTCCAAGGGAAGAACCACTGGAGACAAATGTGGAGGAAAAATCTGAACCACAAGGGTAAGGAGATAAAGTGAGGTAAAAGACTCTAGGTCTAAAGCCCTTTTTTCATAATTTATAATACATAATTTATGGTGCTATTGTTTTAATCTAGATTTATAGTAAATGATTTTTTTACTAGTTGTTATACTTTTATTTATGATGAAGTGAAATAAATAATAACAACTAAGGTGCCTTTTGTTCTTTCATCACTATCAGACTTGAATTAAAATATAGAGCCAACAACTAAGCACCTGCTTAGGGAAGTGCAGGGACCTGGGTTCAGTCCCTGGTACCACATGCCACACCAGCCCTGCCCCCAGTGCACTGAGCCGGCTGAGACTGAGACTGAGCAGGGTGGCGCACACTTGTAATCACAGCTGGGTAGTGAGACCCTGTACCAAATACATTTTTAAAAAAAAAATAAAATATAATAGTAAATGGACTAGCAACTCTTCATCTGTTAATTAGCAAACTGCCTTTCCATATAGATTCTGGTTTTGTTGAATTAAGAATTGTTATAGTAATTACATATGATTTTTACTGTTAGACTTTGTTTATTTTACTCTCCATTAGATCTATGATGTGCTTACATGCTGGTTAACTTATCATTTGCTTCAAGGAAAGTTGAAGTTGAACCTATGAAATGCAGTTTGGATATAATTTTTCCCTTTTAGAATTTTATTTTATTTATTTATTTTTGGTACCAGGAATCAAACTCAGGACCTTGCACTTTCCAGGCAGGCACAAAGCTGCTGAACTGAATTCCCCAGCCCATTTTTAGAATTTTATTTTTTATTTATTTTATTTTATTTTATTTCAGTTTTGTATTTTAGGACATGGTCTACAGGGTCTCACTGTGTAGATCGGACACATAGTGATCCTCCTGTTCACAGCTTCCTAGGTGCTGGGGTTAACAGGCGCACGCCACCAAGCCCAGTCTCAATGACGGTCTCAGTGTGCCCCAGGGGCGGGGCTGGCACAGCAGGCCTGGGGATCAAACTCCTGGCCCCTGACCATTTTTAGAATTTTAGATATGTTAGAATTTTAGGATTACCTTGACTAAAAGAGTAAAACAAAAGACATAATTATATCTTCTTTTTCTTAACGTGCAAATTTTGTTTCCCTGTACTAAGTAATAAAACTGGGGGTTTTTTGGTTGTTGTTGGTTGGCTTTTGGTGTTTTGTTTTTTGGTGCTGGGAATCAAACCCAAGTCTCTGCTCATGCTTTATCACTGAGCCCTTGCAAGTAAGAGATATCTCTGTTGGGAAAAACTAGGCTTTACTGTTGCAACTGTGACAGAGCTCTTTAGTGTTCTGAGCAAAATGTCCCCTTAATCTATAGGAGAAATTTGGGATCCCAGCTAATCTCATGTCTCCTCATTTTAGATTCTATTGTCCTGTTGCGGAGGAATCAGCAGAATATGTTGTCATGTGTTAAGTCTTCCAGACATATTCTTTGCTTTTGTTTGAGTCTCTTCCAAATTGCCATGGAGATGCATGTAAACAGATTATGATTGTGAGCTAAGCATTAGAAAGAGTAAAAGAATGTTTAGACTCTGAGAGGAATGAGCATTAAATCACGTGTCGCATAGTTATGTAAAGGATATCTTGCTACCTAATCACACATTAATTCTTATTTATAGTATGATCGAAGCCTTTTCAAATCCTGAACACACCATTCCTCATTCATTTTGTGTAGATGCAAGTTCAGAAGTTTCTAGGTAAGAATTTTTATTCTTCATACCATTTTCAAATAATCATGTTTTACAAATAGAATATGAGTTAATGCTTCCTATAGCAGTTTGAAGTAACGTGGAGTGTAGGTGTACGTTTATGACATCTTAGTTATTCACATACTTTTTCGTATTAGTTTCTGTGTTTTACAGTGTGTGTAATTATAGTGTGTAAATTACAGTGTGTTAATCTACTGCCATCATTTCGGTTTTTCCTGCAGATTTAAAGACATACAGAAACTGTTAGACCAATTCTTTTAGGAAAAAAATAGTGGATATGTACATGAACGATGTCATTATCACTCATTTTCAGCTCTTGGTTTGTGATAGCATTTAATTCTCTTTAGAATTAGATTTATATAGTTTACTTATAAATTTTTTTAGGGGCTGGAGAGATGGCTCAGTGGTCTAAAGCACCTACTTGGAACACGCTTGGCAAAGCACAGGGACCGCGGTTCGATCCCCCAGCACCACATGCCAGCCAGCCCCGCCCCCTGGTGGGCTGAGCAGGCCACACACACACACACACACACACACACACACTAAATAAATAAATAAATTTTTTTAAAAGAGGTTGAAAAGATTCCTTAATGTTTACAAGTAAATCTTGCTAAATTAGGAAAGTACAGCACAGCTTTACTTCAGAAAAAATTTACATTATTAAAATTGCTCTTACTAATTGTTGAAGCAAAGGCCATGTCTGATGTGGTGCCTGATTTTCATGGATCTGCCAGATAAAGTTTTGTTGCTGAGCATGGCATGTTTATTGAAAGCAAATATTAGTGAAAGGGAATGATTTAAACTCAAATCTAAATCCAAAACAATGAATAATTTGTTTGAGTATGATAATTGCCTAGTCCTTTTGTTTACAGAATTTATTTGCTTAAAAACCACTGACCCCCTGCTATATCTAAGGAATTGATGTAACTAGGAATAATTTTATTTAAAAAGCAAACTTTTGAGTTTTAATTTTTATTTCTATAGCAGCATTTTTAGGGTTTATTATAAACTTGTTAATTGGATATAAATGTATTTTGGGTTTTGGGTTTTGTGCAGATTCTTTTGTTGTTTTTAACAGACTCTCACTATATACCATTCAGGCTGGCCTTGAACTCACTATGTAAAGTGAGTTCACTTTGCTCAGTCTGGCCTTGAATTCACAAATTTTCCTGCCTCTTCCCCCCAGTGTTCAAATTTCAGGTGTGCACCACCACACCTGGAGTTAACTTTCTTTTGGATCATTAATTTTCTTTTTTGTAGCCCAGGGTGGTCTCAGACTGGCAATGATCCTCCCACCACAGCCTCCTGAGTGCTGGGATTACAGGCGTATGCCACCATGCCTGGCCTTCCGTCATTAATTTTCATCAAAAAACTTACTTCTATGTCAAGTTACAAAGTCTATAAAGTCAGAATGATTGCACTGGTTTCAAACCTAGATAGCTGTGGGAATAGGTGTGGGCTGTTCTGCAGGGTAGCGCCATAGTGAGGGACTGCTGCTGAGTAGACAGTACATGTCCCCAGTAAAGGTGAAAAATAGTGTTGTGCAAAAAAAAAAAATCAAAACCTCTAGAATAACTTTTAAATTTGAAGAAACAGTGGGATCTAAATATTTGGATTATAGATGTCCAATTTTTTTTGGTTTTGATTAGAATGTGGTTTTTATTTACATGCCTCCACACAGTGCACAGATTTCTGCATCTAAAGATAAGTCTCCCTCAGTTCCTTCTCTTGTGTCAAATGGAATCCACACAGCTTCACAGACACCTGTTCCAGCACCTCAGAAGACACGCAGAGATGAACATAGGACTCCTTTACCAGATTCTTCTGATTCTGTTAGGCACATGCTCCAAGATGAAATGTTTAAATTAGTTCAGGTGAGCACATCTCTAAGTAATTCTGCATATGGTAAATGTAGGGATTAAATCTCACAAACTTGTAGAAATGACAGATCATAATTAAAATTGTCTACATTTCTATGCTTTAGATACTTTTCATTTGTCATTCAGAAGTTCCTAACTCTGGTTTCTAGAGTCTGTCTACTTCTAACAATGACTTCTATTCTTTGGGATGTGTTTGCTCAGAAAAGTGTGGAGTGTTGAGGGGTTGGCAATAATGAAACCAGACCAGTGGGCTGCTGCTAAAAAGCACCCAAAGTTCACTTTCTTTTCTTTTTCTTGTTAATCTTTTTGGAGGGGGATTGGGACAGCATCTCACTATGTGCCCTAGGCCAGCCTCAAACTCGAGCTAATCTTCCCACCTCAGTCTCCCAGGTTCTAGGATTAAACTTTGGCACCACCTGACCTGCCCAAAGTTATTTATTTTCTAACCCAGGCTGTTTTGCCATGTATCTTATCCACCAATCAAATTTTGGCTTTGGTTAAAAGTGACCACTGCATTTCAAATTATTGTTTACTTTGGCTTCCATAATCTTTTTTTTTTTTTTAATCTATTACTCTTTTCTCTACCAGTAATTTCTAATTCCCTTTTTTTTTATTCTTAAAACATTAATTTATTTCATTTAACCTCCAACCTTTTTTGTTCTACATGAACTTCTTCTACATCTGTATATAATGGTGATGGAATATACCATTTTTGAATTGGGTCTTGGAACTAGTTTTCTTTTGAATTTATCCTTTTTCAGCATGTCCCCCATTCCATCAGATTTACTGAACTTGATTAGTCTGATTCCTCCCAGTTCTTTCTTTCCCATTTCTGTTGAGTAACATGATCTGTTATACCAGTTTAATCGTTTGTGGTTTTTTAGATTATTCCCCCAACACACAGACACACACACACACACACACACACACACACACACACACACACGGGATTGAACCTAGGGCCTTCGCATATCCCTAGCCCTTTCTCTTTTTTTGAGACAGGGTCTCAGGCTGAGCTGGAATTTGTCACCCACCTCCTGTACCTCCTAGAGTGCTGGGACTATAGATGTGCTACAGCTTAAAGCTTTAGAAGCATTTCTAAAACTTCCAGGAATTACATGGGGACTTTGATTCATATAGTCCCATTTGCTTGCTTTTATTATTAATCCAGGTATTTTATGCTGCCTCTTAACTCTTACACTCTTGACATTCTATAGCTATTGCTAACCTTAGATTTTTTATCATTTTGTACTTCCATTGTCTCATATATGCATTTTCTCTTTCTTTCTTTCTTTCAAATACTTAGCTCAGGGTCTTACTACAGAGCTTGGACTTGTAGTGATCCTCCTGTTTTCAGCCTCCCCAGTACTGGGATTGCAGGTGTGTTCCACCATGCCTGGTCTTGGTGGCCAGCTCGGTGTGCCCGGGGGTAGGGCTGGTGTGGCCTGTGCTGCCAGGAATGGAACCCCGGTCCCTGTGCTTGCCTAAACAGGTGTGTAGTCCACTGAGCTATCTCATTGGCCCCATACACACATTTTCTAGAGCACTCCTCTTCCAAAGTTATTCTATTGAGCGCTTTAAAAATCTTCAAAGCCAGGCATGGTAGTACACACCTATAATCCACACACTCAAAAAGCTGAGACAAGAGGATTGCTGTGAGCTCAAGGCCAGCCTGGGCTACATAGTGAGTTCAGAGCTAGCTAAAATTACATAGCAAAACCATCTCAAAAAGAAAAAAAAGCCTTAATACCTGGTGCAGTTTTACATGCCTATGATCCCAGCTACTTGGGTAGCTGGTTCAAGGATTGTAGGTACAAGGCCAGGCTGGATAACTCGATGACACCCTGTCCCAAAATAAAAAATATAAAGGGCTAATAATGTAGTTCAGTGGTAGAGCACTTGCTTAGTATGCATGAGGCCCTGCGTTCAATCCTCAGTACTGCAAAAAATTTAAAAAAAACAGGAAATAAAAAACACAAAAACATGACTAAATTGCAGTTGAAAATTTGTGTACTATATAATATTTTGTTTTAAAGCATAAAGAGTAGAAGGACATACACTCCTGTGTTAATAGTGGTTATCTTTAGGGGCAGAATTACAGTATTTTATCCATCTCTTTTTCTCCTTCAAAGCATATGTATTTCTTTCATAATGGAATATAATTGCAGTGTTTCCCTGGAGTCTGTTTCATCAAGTGCAAATTCTTCTGTTCACCGTGAAAGACCTACTACCATTGTTTATCTTTCTTCTTCCCACCTCTCTCACAAGTCTAGCTGTTCTCCAGATGTGATCTCTAAACCAGTAGTGTCAACGCTGCTCAGATATAAATACTCAAATTCTCGGCCTCCCCGTTCAGACATGCGGAATCAGAAGCTTTGGGGTGGAGCTCAGCAAAACGTGATTTAAAAGTCTTCTGCTCCATTCTGATGCATGTTAGGGTTTCTGAGCTACTGAGCCAATCTCTGTTCTCATCCCTGCAGTCGTGTCCTATTCTAGCTAAGCCAATATGCATGCCCTGTTTCCCAAGTTCTTCTGTGCATTGAAATCACCTGGTCTCCTTCACAAATAAGTACTGATCCTGGCTTCCATCCCCAGACATTCTGCTGTTACAGGTAAAGACTGTGACCTGGCCAGTGAGAATTTCTAATGTCACTTAGTGATTCTATATGTACCAAAGATTGGGACCCACTGCCTTTCGCCTAATCAGTCCTTCCCGGAGAATTCTTCACTCCTTAACTGTGTAGTAGTCTCTGCTCTTTTCTTTCCCAAAACTTCAGTTACCCTCACTGTAGTCCATCAGATTCTACTACTTTATGATCTTTGGGAATTTTTTTCATTTATTTTTGGTACTGGACATTGAACACAGGGCCTTCTAGTACTAGGCAAGAGCTCTGCCACTGAATTACACTCCCATTCCTTTTTAAAGCTGTTAAATTTGAGTCAGGGTCTCACCAAGTTTACCTTGCTGGCCTTGAACTTGTGATCCTCCTTCCTCACCCTCCCAGGAGCTCTAATTATAGTTATGTACCAGGAGGCTTGGTTCCTAGGGTTATTTATGTAAACTGGTTGCCACCCAGTCCCAACTGTCACCCCAGTTTGTGTTCCCAGATAAAAGGAAACTGCACCTGTTTTTTAGACCCTCTTGCCTTTGCTTCCTGCTCAGTATTCCCATGTCTAACAGAAAGCAGTGACTTCTGTAGAATATTAAAGTGGTAGTTGCTGGTTCCTTAGATTCTTTTCATTGTATTTAAAGGTATCTCATTTTATTGTTTCAGCTACAGCAGATCAACTTCTTGAGCCTCATGCAAATAGTAGGATCATCCTTTGCTAACCTGCCAGACACTCAACAGCTTCTCCAGCAGGCTCAGTCTGTGTATCTGGGGGGAAGCCAAGTATTAAGCCACACAAGAGGGAGTGGTGATGTTGAGATCAACAACAGTAGACATCTTAAGGAGAGATTTTTTATTAAACCACAATCCATGGGAGAGGATACCCGGGAGCCCGACAAGAGCAGCCCACGTAGCCATGAAGGAATTATCCAACCTGATCAATATAGTAATGGAAATATAGAGGTAATGCTTATAAAAACACCATTTCCTGGTGATGAATTGTTTTTTGTTGTTTTTGTTAAGTAAATAAATATTTTAATATTCCATTTCCTTCAAACAATATTAAACGTCATTTACCAAAAAAGGAATTTATTCTAAACTTAATCTTTTTTACTCTTTCAGAATGTTCCACATGGGAGTATTGCTTCATGCCAGTTAGGCAGCCAATCCCAGAAGAGAGGACCAACCCCTCCATCAGAAAGCTTAGCATCCACTTTGTTTCCTCTTCCTCCTGCTAGAAATAATCACCCCCCTCTTTTATCTACCCCTTCTGCTGCCCTGAAGATACCTAGACTTATCCCACCTGCCAAAACACTTAGTCCTGGCTATGGTTTTCCTTTGCTTCACTTTCAACCTAAGCAGGAGTTCAGGCCCCTTCCTTTACATGTAGGAAGCATTCCAAACGTTCCCTCCCGATCTTTGGCCCAACTGAGAGAAGCTTGTGCATTAAGTAGTTCCCTCCAGCCTCTTCCACAGGCAGGAATAGACACTATCTCAGGATACCATTCGAATTCAAGCCACTGCATTAAAGAAGCTACTGAACAGAAGAAATGGGCAGAAACTGGACTTACAGATATCCCTAAGTACGTGAACATGGATCAGTATGTTGGGCAAAAAAACTTGGCTTCTCAGCAGGACTCAGTATTTAAGAAACCAGAAAAACAATTTGATGGTAACCTGAGGCCCCCTGAGGCACCTCCTCAGAATTCCTGTGGACTTCCATTATTGCACCTGCAATTTAAACAGCCTTACATATTTTCATCAGTCTCAAGAGCAACAGTTACAGTTCCTTCAATACCCATGAGAACTGTAGCAGAAGAGAAAAAATGCCCACAACTGTTACTTTTTCCTCATCTAAAAGAAAATATGGTAAGGAATTTTTGTACAGTGATTTAAAACCAGAATCCTGCATTTTTCATACTATAAACAGTAGATGAGGGGCTGGAGAGATGGCTCAGTGGTCTAAAGCACCTACTTGAAACAAGCTTGGCAAAACACAGGGACCGCGTTCGATCCCCCAGCACCACATGCCAGCCAGCCCCGCCCCCTGGTGGGCTGAGCTGGCCACACACACACACAATAAATAAATGTAATAAATAAAAATAAAATAAATAAATAAAATGTGTTTTAAAAAAAAAACAGTAGATGTTCATTGAAAGCTCTAGTTGCATTTTAAAAAATACTTGTGTTGTAGAAAATAACAAAATTCAGGTTTACAGTAATAATTTTGTTTTTAAAAGATTTTTGGAAGGGTTGGCCACATAGCTCAGTGGATTAAAGCACCTCCAAGCAGGTGCAGAAGCCAGGGGTTTGATCCCCAGGCCTGTCATGCTGGCCCCGCACCCCAGGGTGTGCTGAGACAGCAATTAAGACTGGGCGTGGTGGTGCACACCTGTAATCCCAGCTCTTGGGAGGCTGTAAACAGGCAGATCACTATGAATCTGATCTAGTAGTGAAACCCCGAACACCCTGTAGACCCTTCCCTAAAAAATTAAAAAAGATTTTTGGTAATAGGTCTTTATATCTTATGCTGGAATTTACTCAATTCTGTCTCAGATATTCTGCTCAGGAAAAAAAGTAAAATACTGTTAATAGGTGTGTGTGTGTGTATACATGTACAAACATACATATTGTTTGAGGTGCCTAGCAATTGAAATATAATTGTCTTTGGGGCCAGGGAGATAGCTCAGTAGAATAAGTGCTTGCCTGGCAAGTGCCAGATCCTGAGTTCAATCCCTGGTATCACCAAAAAAAAAAAAAAGAAATAATTGTCTTTGAATCTGTCTCAGGTTATAGTTGTTAAATAGACTTAGTCTGTAAGTAGTGCATGCCATAAAATGGTAACTTTAAAAGCCCAATAAATCCTTTTAAAATATATTATCTTTGTGTTACAAAATTCACACTGTTTAGGTTCTGATTTTGTAGGTGAGTAGTGCCATCTTAGGGAAGTAATTGATACTTCATTCACCAGAGCATTTTAAGATGTGAAGGTGCTACTTGGAAAAAAATTGTTATTCCTTAGAAAAAGAACTTACTATGCCTCTTTACTTCTGAACTTATTTTGAGCAGAAGAAGGGGGTAAGGAAGTGGAAAAGTCAGTACTTTTAGAAGAATTATTTTAATTTTATTTTTTAGTTTTTTATCTTCATATTTGCCATACATAGCGTTCACATTCATTGAATGGAATTTGTATCTATTATATCTTAATTCTTTTTTCCCATTCCCATCCCCTCCCTTCAACCATTTTCCCCTCCACATTTCAGTTTTGTTTCCATTTTTTCCTTCTATTCTGCCATATAATCCCTTTGTCTTAACTACCCTTTCCTCTCCCCTCTTCATTGTTCTCCATTTGAAGATATTCTTCCTACTTCCCAATATCCACTTTGCTCCTACTTTTACCCTTAGGGTTTCTCACAGAACAGAAACAATGTGATATTTAAACTTGTGTATCATATTTGTTTCACTCACAGTTGTGGTCTTGAAGTGCATGTGTTTATGTACAAGTCACTCAAGTTTATCCTTCTTTGTGGCAGAGTAGCACTTATTAAATGTAAATGCCACATTTTCCTTATCCATTCCTCTGTTGGTAGGCATGTGCACCATTTCCAAGACTTAGCCAGTATAAACTGTGCTCCTATAAATATGGAAATACGTATATATCACAGTGGCATGATGCTTTTCACTTTCAGGAGGATGCTGAGAGGGCGATAGCTGGATCAAATGCAACTTCTAGGTTTAGGTTTTTGAGGCATCTCCATACTGATTTCCATAGTGGTTATACCAGCTTACACTCCCACCAATAATGAAGAAGAGTTCCTTTTTCCCAACAGCCTCTCCAGCCTTTGTTATTGTTTGATTATTGTTATTGTTGGCGATAGCTATTATTTTTTTTCAGTGAGATGGAATGTCAGTGTAATTTTCATGTCTCCATTGACCAGTAATGTTGATCAGCGTTTTATATGTTTATTTACTGCTTATACATCTTCATTTTAGAAGTATCTATCATTTCAGGTGCCCATTTTTAATTGAGTCTTTGAATTTGGGGGAGTCCAATTTTTTTTTTTTCTTTTTTTTATTTATGTGTGTGCGTGGTCAGCTCAGCCCACCAGGGGGCGGGGCTGGCTGGCATGTGGTGCTGGGGGATTGAACGGTGGTCCCTGTGCTTTGCTACAGCTTGTTCTAAGTAGGTGCTTTAGACCACTAAGCCATCTCTCCAGCCCCCTTTTTTTTTCCTTTTTAAAATTTTTTTTTATATGTTCTAGATATTAGTCCTTTGTCTGAGAAGTAGCTGGTAAAATTTTTTTCTCACTCTGAGAGTTATCTCTTCATTCTGTTGTTGATTTATTTTGCTGTACAAAAGCTTCTTAGGGCCGGCTAGATACTCAGTGGACTAAAGCATCTGCTTAGGCAGGCACAGCAACCGGAATTCAATCCCCTGGTATGCCTTGCTGGTCCTGCCCCCAGGGCAGGCTAAGGTGGCACCTGAGACTGGGCATGGTAGCACGTTCCTGTAATCCCAGTGCTTCAGAGGCTAAAGGAGGATCACTACAAGTTCAATCTGTGTAGTGAGACCCTGTAGACTCTACTAAATACATTTTAAAAAGCTTCTTAATATAATGAGATCCCAGTTGTTGATTCTTTGTGATATTTTCAACACAATTGGGGTTATGTTCATACATTCTTTAAGAGTTTGCCTATTTTATTGTCTAGCAGATTGTTTCTATTTTAATTTTTAGATCTTTGATCCATCAATTTTCAGTGTGGTGAGAGTTATGGGTCTTGGTTCAATTTTTGAAATACAGAAAGCCAGGTTTCCTAGCACAATATTGAAGAAGGTATCTTTCTTTTAGTGAAGGTGTTGGGCACCTCTGTCAAAGATGAGATAGGTGAGTGTCTCTGGAGTAGTTTCTGTATCTTTAGCGCCTTTCCATTCATCACAGGGTCCATTTTTTCCCGTACCATGCTGTTCTTATTATAATAGCTTTCTAGTGTAATTTAAGACCAGGGATTGTATTGCCCCCTGCCTTGCCTTTATTGCCCAAATTTGCTTTTCCTATGCTGTATCTTAAGAATTGTTTTTTTTAGAAATGTATTAGAATAGTATAATGAACCCTCAAGTTCTTATCTCCCTACCTAGGGATCATCACACACTGCAGATGTTTATCCACAGCTTTTATACCACTGCATTCACCTTGTTTGAAAGAACTTTAAACATTTAAACAAGCATTATATAACTTTGTGATATTTTTTTTTCTGTAATTTCAAGGAAGTTTATCTTGTTTGGTTTTGGATTTGGTCTTTTTGCTTTGTTTTGTTCTTTTGAGACAGTGTTTTGCTATGTAGTTCAGGCTGGGAGAACTATAGTTCACTTGAGCTCACTTTGTAGCACAGGCCACTCTTGAACTTGTAATGATCCTGCTGCCTCAGTCTCCCAAGTGCTGGGATTACAGAGGAGCACAACCACATCTGGCTAATGCAATCTATCTATCTATCAATCTACCTATCTAATTTTCTTTCTTTCTTTCTTTCTTTCTTCGACTTGGACTTCGACTTGGACTTGGATTCGGGGCCTTGCTCTTGCCAGGCAGGCACTTGTGCCAGTGAGCTGTCTCCTCAGCCTGAAAGGTTTTTTAATACTGAAATTTGAGACTGGGTATGATAGCACATGCCTGTAATCCCAGCTCTTAGGAGGCTGTAAACAGGCAGATCACTATGAGTCCAATCTAGTAGTGAGACCCTGAGTACCCTGTAGACTCTTCCCTAAAAATATATATATTTTTTTAATTTTATTTATGTGTGTGTGTGTGTGTGTGTGTGTAGCCAGCTCAGCCCACCAGGGGGCGGTGCTGGCTGGCATGTGGTGCTGGGGGATTGAACCGTGGTCCCCGTGCTTTGCCAAGCTTGTTCTAAGTAGGTGCTTTAGACCACTGAGCCATCTCACCAGCCCCCCTAAAAATATTTTTAAAAAGAAAAAAAAGAAATAAAAAGAAATTTAATAGATAAGAACTTGTAGTTTAATATCTGAAACAAGGTGACCCAATTGAGGACCCAGTTGATGTAACTCAGTAATAAAGAAGTTCGCTACCATTTGCAAGGCCCTGGGTTCAGTTCCCAGCACCCAAAACAAATAAGACAATGCAACACAAAAATCAAAAGTTGAAACTTTTACCACTCTAAATTATCTAGCTCTTTACCATATGTATCTTTATTGTACCAGTCCAAGTTTATTTGTTATATTTGATTTGTTCTCAATTTAATTTAAAGATACTTTCCCTAAATTTTCAATATAATAGATATTTGAGTTTGTAAATTTCTAATTTTATGCTTTTTTCTTTCCCGTAGTACAAGAAACCACAGCTTATTCCACTTGAAAATCTCATTGCATTTAAACAAAGCCAACAAAAATTAACACATAATTTGTTTGAACAAGGTGATTCTGGTCACCTTCACCTTTTGAGGGTCGAAATGGAACCATCTGAAACAAGAGAAGGAAAGACCAGTAAAAAAAGGCAAGTTTAAAAAGAAGCATTATTTGATACCATGTACCATGAAGTTCATTATTTATAATCATAGTCATAAAGATGGAAGTCATATGTTTAAACCTCCTTATTTATATACACAATTGCATATTTTTCTTTGTTGAATGTCATGTATTTGAAAATATCTAGTAATGAAGACAATTCATGTCTTGTAAGAAATGCTGTTTTTCTGTTTTAATAAAGAATTCTCTGTTAGTCTTCATAGGCCAGAGCATTCTTTCTCATCTTCCTGTGGTAGTATAAGCAGCCGTCACATGCATCACAGATATTTGGTGTCATACAGTGTACTGTGTACCATCCAACATTTTGAGCCAGTATTTCTTGTTATTCATCTGCTTTCAAGACTCTATAATATATAGAATAGATGACGATATAAATTGTTTTGGGACATTGGGCAATATACAATATACAAAAAGCAAGTCTCTGACTTCCAATAAGGGGCACATGTTACAGTGTTTTAACCACAATAAATTTTTAAGACACATACTGATTGGGAGATTAGGCAGGTGCTTATGCCTCTCAGCTGTCTCCCCAGCCCTAGGAAATATTCTTTAAATTTCACATTAATCAGGCTATAAAATCTATTACCAGTATTCTTTCCAGAAATGGTTACTTCCTTCCATCCTTTTCAGGTTTTTCCTCTGTCTTTCCTTTACCTTTTTGGTACTTCTTTCCTCTTTGTTGGGATTTCACTGGTGTAAGTATGCTTAACTGTCTTCAAATAGACAAGTGGAGGTGTGTGATAGGATTTGGGGCACCACCTTCAATTCTACAGAGAAGAGAATTTGAAACTTACTTACATGCCTGTTGTGACCTTCCAATGACCAGCATAGAATAGTAAGTTCAATTGTCGAGGAATTGGAAATAAATTTCATGACTTTGACCTTTTTTTGTTTGTCTGTCTGTTTCCAGACAGGGTATGCTAACCTATCCCAGGCTGGCCTGGCTGGGACTTGCAGTGCTCCTGCCTCAACCTCCCAAGTGCTTAGATTATAGGAATGTGCCACTACACATTTGCTTGATTTTTTACTTATATTTATTTGTATTCTATCAGAATTTCTTATTTAAATCCTATTAGAAATAATTTGCATAATTTTGATAATGCCTTCATTTCATGATATACAAATAAGAAAAATTAATACACAAAGAATAGAAATATCTTTTATACTGTTATTTTTAACAGGCAAAGGAGACGAACTGAGAAAGAGCTACAAGAAAAAAGATCTGAGAAATTGCAGAGAAAACCAAATGTGAATTTCCGGCCAGAAGAATCTCTCATTCATAGTGAGGACTCAGAAGCTGTCGTGAAACCCAAGGTATAGGACAACTCCTATAGATTCTTCCCTAGTGCTCGGTGTTCTTTACAGCCTGTCTAGTCCGAGTGCCAGAAGCTTCAGGTTGTGACGAGGAGAGCTTTCCACCATTCAGTGCACTGAGCCCTGCGTGCTCCTTCCACACAGCCGCACACACCGAGCTGCAAGTGTGGAAAACATTCAAATGGGAAATCAAAAACTGCAGCTTAGAGTGTCTGTGCGTGTGACTTTTTAATGTTTGAAGTTTGACGTCACCACTGACTTTTTTTTTTCTGGTTTCTTAATGTATGTTTGATATGTGATTTAGGTTTCTTCCATTTTAGTTTCACCTATCTTTGAGATACTTCTAGGATTTCCACAGATCTATATAACATATGAGTCAGGTGTTTATAAATGTTTCTTCTAAATTTGGGGGCTTTCAGCTATTTGGTTGACAGTAGATTAAATAAACAAGAGACATAATTTTATCGTGTATATATATATTTTAAAAGGCACCCTTTTAATGTCCTCAAGAGCATGTCTAGAGACACTTTTATATGTTAAGTCCGTGGAAGATTTTGTTAGGGTGAGAAGCACCTGAGTATCAAAGCAACCATGCAGTGGAAAGTTGCTTGTGGTAACTTCTTCATTGTACTTCTTCAATTAGAATGTTCTTCGCTATTTTTTGACTTGTGAATTTTGACAAAACAAAATAACTTCATAGCATAAGTACATTTGCTTAGAATAAGATTTGGACCTGTATCTATGAATCCAACAATCTTGATAGCTACTAAATATTTTCTTCCAAAATAATAAATGTCTTGGAGTTAATCATAGATTGGTTATTTGGAAATTCATTTAGGAAGAAAAGCATCATGATTCTCAGCCTTTGGATAATTTCAACATTCCTTTTGGTAAGTAAATGCATGGTTAATATTTTAAGTTTTAAGTTATTCTAGATCAGTGTTCTAGAAATAAGTATAAAAATGACAGTGAACTTTTTCATGTTCTTTTTAACGAGATAGAGGGTATGTATTTGTTTTGATGTTTTATCCAATATGTCAGTAATTGACAGTATGGCCCAAAAGCCAGATCTGTACTGTGCTTGTTCATAGTACAGCTGTGTTGGAACACAGCTAATACCTGTTTGTCATATAATATCACTGCTTTCATACTGCATCATGGTCAGGTACTTGCAGCAGAGCATGTGACAGTTCAGCTTAATTGCCAACTCGTTTGACTAGGGAGCTGCCTGAGGATTAGTGAAACATACTTCTGGGTGAGTTTGGGTAGGTCATGGAGGCGGCCTTAGTGCGCCTTCCTGGTGCCTTGTCCCTAGCAGCTCTGCTTTCTCAGCCCTTATCTCCAGTGTTCCTGCCTTGGAGCCAGCCAGTCGTTGGCTGAAACCATGAGGCACATTACACGTCTGCTTTAAATTGTGCTTATTAGGTATGTTTTATTCCCAGCAAGGGGAAAGCTCGCTAATACAGATCATAAGGCGCCCAAGTCCTCACATACTTACTGTCTGGCTCTTTACAGAAAATGTTTGCTGATCCAGGCATAAGAACAGTCAGTAAAACAGAATCTCAGGGAAGATGAGAAATTGAAAAGGAAATTATGGGAGAATATGCCTAGAATTCACTTAATCATAGGAAATGTATGCACATTACAATAAAGGAACAATCTATAGATGGTCAATTGTATCTTACTAGTTAAGTTTATTTCTTGCTCCTTGAATTTATATATTCCCTAAGCATTACTCCCCAGTAACACCTCCCCAGCTTACCCATTCCTATGCTTGTCAGAACAGTAATGCTCTTACATACTTTCATAGCATACAAATACAGGTTTAGTCATTTTTTTAACCTTAAATTAATTAGTATTTTAAAATTACCATCCTTCCAATAGTGGTATCAACATTGTATTAATTGGTCTAGATTTTTACCTTTAAAGCCACCCTTTTATTCTCATCTCTATCCCCCTGAATGCACTTAGTCCTGTCTGGGTCTTCATTTCCTTTCTCAAGGCCACTGACCTGCTTAATGAATCTTTCACTGTTTTTTTTTTTTTTTTGTTTGTTTGTTTTTTTGGTTTTTTTTTGTTTTCCTACTGGGGATTGAACTCAGGACCTCACACTTTCCAGGAAGGTGCTTATGTGGCTGAGCTATCTCCCTGATCCCAGGCTTTACTTTCTAATCCAGCTGCAGTTCTTTCATTTTAGTGCTACCTTCTACCAGGCGTGGTGGTGCACAGCTTTAATCCCAGCACTCAAGAGGCTGAGCATAAGAATGACCAACCTGGGCTAGTGAAGGCCAGCCTGAACTGCATAACAAGACCTTGTCTCAAAAAGACAAAAAAAAAAACCTACATTTTTTTCCACTCTTAAAAAGATTTTTTCACTCTGTTAAGATAACACATACTTACAGAAGTTAGAAAGTACAAATAAGAATCAAGAATAATATTAATATTTGCCATCTTTCTATCCCAAGATAACCATTGTTAATATTCTTTCAGGCTTTGTTTTACAAGCATTACACTTATATACTTGCAAATGCACACACTTCTATATTTGTTTGTAGTTTACATGTTTTTGCATACTGTTAAATATATTCCTATATCGCTAGATATTTTTATGCAGTACTAATCTGGTGAATGTCTCTTGTGTCATACCAAACAACAGTTCTTAGATACCAGCTAGTGTTCTGCAGTTCAGTTCTGACACTTACTATTTGGACCACCCAGGGGAAGCAGCTCAGTCCCTAAGAGTGCTTTACTTAGGAACAAGGTACAAACAGGGTCCCCAGGGTACCCACATTGCTGCCTGGCTGACTACAGATTCGAGGATTCCTTTGGCAGCACTAATCATGCCTACCCCCTTACCTAATCACGCCTTACACATACATACACCTGTTCATTAATTCATTACAACAGTTCACAGGACTTGGGGAAGTGTTTTATTTACATTTGCTATGTTTTTTAAATGAAGGATACAATTCAGGAATAGCCTAGTAGCAGTTACCATCCCCTCTGTAGGTGAGCACATTCCTGTGTCCAGCAGCTGGAAGCCCCCTTTAGCCTGTATTTCAGAATTTTTATTAAGACAGAATTATGTTGTTTCTAGCTCAGGCTAGGTGGAGGTAAGGGTCTGATAGTTCTAATCCTCCAACCAAGTGTTTATTATCCTGGTGTCCAGACCCATTCTGAAGCCATCTGGGAACCTGCCAAGGATTACTTCCTTAGCATAAACACAAGTATGAGGAGGAGGAGCTCACTATAAATAACAAAAGGGATTCCTGTCACTTAGGAATTTCTAAGGGTGCAAGAAACTCTGTCTGAAGCTAAGGTGGAAGACACATATATTTTTTGTTTTCTCACAGTTTATAATGATACTATTACCTACCTAATCTCTCCAGTCATCTCCAACAAAAATACAAGTGTAAATCCAAACTGCCATAATATACTTTGGACTTTGATTGTACTTTTTTTTTTTTTTTTTTGTGGAACCGGGGATTGAACTCAGGCCCTTGTGCTTGCCAGGGAAGTGCTTATTCCACTGAGCCATCTCCCCGGTCCCTGATTGTACTTTCTGCTGTGGTAAAAGTTACCTTGAGTTCAAGAAGTGAAGTCTTAAGTTTGTTGTGCCCATCCCCAAATTGGTTTCTTTCCTGTAGTTTCTACCTCCGTTTGTGTTAAGACCAACCTAACCAACAAAGCCATTCTGAATTCCACGTTTCCCTTTCCCCTCTCATCTAGGCAGCACCCAGTTCTTCTCTTTCCTCATTTACAATTCCTAAATTTGTCCTCTCACTAAACTACTTCAGTAACCTCACTGACTTTTACTTCAGTTACATCCACTCAGATCTTTTTTCAACAAATGGGCTTCGTGGTTTTTCTAGAACAGCAATCTGACCATATCACTCCTTTTTAGCACCTTCTACTGGGTCTTCATTAACCAAGAGAATGACTAGCTTTTTAGACTGAATAGTCCACAGTTTTGGTTTTCATTCCACTGCCTTTTTGAGATTGCGTTTATTAACCCTTTCATGCAGAATACTTTGGTAAATCCTAACTTCCTAGTAACATGTTGGCTGCTTAGTGATTGCTTATAATGTTTTGTTATATTTAAGAAATGCTGCAAGATGATGTTAATACTTCGGCTGGATTGCATTTCATGGCCTCTATACAGAAGAAAGCCATAGGAAGTCAGGATGCAAGTACAAATACAGAGCCAGGTAAAATACTGGGTTTTTTTTTCATTCACAAATTTGATATATGTAAGATACTTGGACTGCTTAAGGGAGTGATTCAGTGATAATTTTAAATAATGTGATATTTGTCATATTTCCCAAGCCAGAGGAAATTAGAAATTTAATATTTGATAATTTAAGTAAAGCATAGTAGAAATTTTTGTTCACAACAGACTTGAATTACATCCTAAGTCAGTAAATATGTTTTTGATTAGATTCTCTGGGCCACTAGTTGCCTTTACTTGGAACTGTGTACCTCAGGCTGAGGGCCTAGGGTAAGTAAAGTTGAGCTCCAAAGAAGACTGGATTGGGGTCAGTGTGGGAGGGCTATGACCTGTGCATGAGAGTAAAGGAAGGAAATGTTGGAGGGTCTGCTGTTACTGCTGGACAAAACATCCCCCTTAATGTAGTTAATCGTATCCTGGCATGGGGACACTTGCCCATAATACCAGCACTTGGGAGGTAGAAGCGAGAGCATCTGCCATGTTTGGAGTCAGTCTGAGCTGCATAGTGTGACCCTGTCTCAAAAAAAGAAAAAAGTAATTATTATGAACATTATATTGAATAGTGTGCTGCCTTCATGTCACAGTAATCCTTTTTTTTTTTTAATATTTATTGTGTGTGTGTGTGTGTGTGTGTGTGTG